TTCGAACTGGGTCTCGTTGAATCATTTACTTTCACTAAGTGGAAGATACGATTATTAAGTACAGCAATCTTAAAACAAAAGACTTGGCTTGATATCTGAAATTTAAGGCCGAGACCCTGGCATTTTCATGTCACTATTTTTCCATACCTTAAAATACATTGAAGTTAGTGCTATCAGAATGTTAGAATTAATTCATTGCCAAACTACAGTGAATTGAATCAAATGAAACAAACAGATACTTACTGATGGAACAGTATATATTGTTAATAATATTGGAGTTCTTAATTAAAAGAAATTTCATATGCAGACACTGTTAAATTTCTTACGCCCCTTGAACATATTGTATTTATCCCACGATTAAGGTTTTAATCATAGCATAAATGACAAGGGTGCCACACGTGCACCCAGTTCAAGTACAATAAAATGGCAAAGGAGCCATAAAATTAATCCACGTATAATGTAGAATGATTTTATGGCTATTTGGTATGGCACCTTAAATTGAACATTTGGCCAGGCCAACAATCAGATGATTGTCAGCTCAGGCTAGGGTTTGGATATGGCCCCAATGCAATCCCCACCAGACCAACAATCACCTGATTGCTGGCCCCAAACCTATAAGCACCCATCTTTCAACCTGACAGTGAAGGGGAGCCTTGGTTTATAATCGCAGGCTCACCCTGCACTGATCCCTGATCCCAGAATCATGTCTTCTGCCATGCAATTGTGGCGTGGAAAAAAGTACAGTTGTTGGGAATAGGGATCAGATCCTGTGGCACATTTAAATGAACGTCTGCCAGGGGCTTTATATATTAAAAGTATGATATATACTGGATTAACTCTTCTGGTAACAGTACACACTTTGTGAAAGCAGTTTGAATGAAAAATTCTCGTGCTGTAGATGCTAAAAGGGATTTACTTAGAATAGTGTGTTTCTATTAGAAATTCTAGTTTATTGGCATCATGCTTTACATTTAGTCCATTTGCTAGATCAGTCTAAGCAGTGAGTTAGTGTCATAAGAGAAGATATGTCACATCTGGGCAAAAGCAGTAATACTGATTTTGCTTGGCCTTGTCAATTCCAGTTTAAGACTAATTTTATACCATCGGTGATATTTTATTTTGTCAAGATTTTATTTTGCCTTAATGTGCTCCAGCTGTTCACACATAACCTAATGGGTGCTGAGGATGAAACCGCTCTAAACACATATTTGCTAAACACATATACTGCATATGCCAAAAAACAAAGCAGATGAGAGCAGTTAAAAATTCTGGAGGTGTTAAAAGACGCTCTCAAGTCTTTGTTTCCTTGAGACTGAAAATTTGAACTCATTATTTTATTAGTTAAGTATAAATCAAGAGGATCCATCTAAACTATGAAATTTAATTTGTGATTGTTTGTTTATGTCTGATACAAAGCATGCATGCAAGGGAGTTTCCTGTATTATTTTTGTATGTTTATTTTGACCTGGATGTTCATTCCATTTGGTGACCATTAAAAGATTTTATCATTTAGAAGAACAGTCCTGAGACCCCCTTTTCCTGCCCTGTAATTGCAAAAAAGATTTATCTAGTAGGGAAAAAGAGATCATAGTAATCATTGTCCTCCCTGTGTAATTTACAATGTAAAAGTAAATATAAGTTATTCTTTTACTTTTTGACCCTGGTATTGAACTTATGGTTAGTTTAGATGCATATTTTATAAGAACTATTTTCATTTAGATGTGTTTCCTAACTGGAAAACTACAGCGTGTATCTATGTATCCGAATGGGAGAGAAAAATACTTAGTCTGCTTAGAGGAATTGTCTTACCATATAGCACAGTATGGTTCTCCTGGTTCATAGCAAGGGTTCAAGAGACTCGATATCAAGTCAAATAAAAAGTAATACTAATATTATAATTGAAGACATTTTGAGTCCCACAGATTAATAATTGCTGCATAACTAGGGTGAGTGACCATACATCCCAGATTGGCCAGGACAGTCCTGGATTTTGGAGGCTGTCTCAGTGTCCTGGCCATTAGAGAAAATTGAAGCAAATATTCTGGATTGGCAGGAACCTGCCTGCACTTACAGCTCCTGAGTCAGGAGCTGGGCACAAGTGGGTGGGTTTGTGCCAATTCAGGACTTTGGCCCCAATTTTCTCCAAGAAGCCCAGCCGTTTTGGCAGGGGGGGGAGGGGTGCGCACGGGTGCTGAGAGCTGCAAGGCCAGGGCTGTGTGTGTATGCGTGCATGCCCCCCCATCCCAGATTTTTTTACCTCATCCCAGATTTCCCTCAAATTATTATGGTCACTCTGTGTGTAACTGCTAAATATGGCTGTTACTAATGTGTAGTGGTTACAGAGAGTCTCCTTAACTCTTGTTTTACTTTTATATTCCACTGTGAATCTATTATCAGTTATCTTGTTCTAGATATAAAGTGACAGCAATAACAACACATTTGAAAGCACTCCTTTATAAAATCGATCTAATTTCCCCCTGATACACGGCTCTTACATGGAGGGGGCATAAAAAAGGAAACGATAATCTATAATGACATGATAAGACTGCTTAGAGGCTAAATGGGATGTCCACCACTACGAAGAAGAGCATCAGAAGACCAATATGTCATTCACATCACATGTAAATCTTTAAAATGGCATCTGGAAGATAGGCCCTTCTGTCTAAATGAACATTACCCCAAATTAATAAAATCTTTGATTTTCTTTAATTTATAGCTCTATTTTTTCCAAAGATTGTCCAGTTGTAAAACAAAGCTGAATTAATTCAGTTGTGGCTTAAACAAAGCCTGCTGAAGTGAATGGGAAAACTCCCATAAACTTCACCAGGACTCAGATCAGGCCACTTAGCTGTTTCATAAACAGGAAAACTAAAAAAAAAAATTACCCTGTTGAGCAGAATTATGTTTTTCCTATTTTGATGCTCTCTGCTGCTGATCTATGCTACTGCCAGGTTCAGTAAGTAAAACCCCAGCCATAATTATGTCCAACAAGTAAAGAAGGAAAATAAAAATAGGCCTGATTTGTTCCTCCATTAAGAAAGCCTAAGAGAAAAATCTTTGCAAAGTTCTTCCCAGAGAACCTTGTTTTCCATTGCTCTGCCCTGATAGTGAATTTGCCCTTGGTCTAGTTCTAAACCCTGTCAATCAAGTGGAAACAAACAGGCGCTGTCTTGCCTCAGTTGTCATTGTGTTGACTGGATATGAACCCTGACTTTTTAATGGTGATCACTGATGTGCAAGTATTAATGCAGCTGGAAATTAATTGGAAACCTGGCTTGTTTCAGTCTGGTGAATACAGTTTTATAACTTCTCCAGGGTAACTGCTAATGCATCTACAAATGCAACCCTGTTGACAAGCATTTTTCTTTTTCATAATAGTCAAAATACCATTTGGTAATGCAGCTACATTAAGCAGTTGAAGGAACCAAACAAAGATAACCTTTAATTACTAGCCATCCTCCTGTTAGATGGATGCATCATTGGTTTAATAATAACTGTCTGGCACCAGTGCCAGTTCTCAAGACCATTATAATTTGCTCTCAAGGGGGAAAGAAAATCTCTCACCAAGGAAAAGCAACAGTTTACAAAATACTTTCTGAGAAATAAGCATGCACTCAAGATATTTCAGAACCTCTGCCAAGATTTTAAGCCAAACTAACAAGGAAGACTAGTAAATGAGGTGACCAAAGAAAAAGCTCTTCCAGTAACTTGTAGCTCAGAGCCCTTTACACAGTGTTAATGGGGGTGGGCCGTATTATTTTAAACAAATAATCAGTAAATAAGCAAATGTCTTGTGCTATAAATAGGTCAGTTTTGGAAGACCTTTATCATATGGCTACAAACTGAATTTCAACTTCCTATCCCACTGCTCTAAGTGACCACGTTATTTCATTCAGTCAACCACTTTCAGAAAATATCTACAATGGAGAATTATATGCAGATCACTCCTAGATATAAAACCACGTTGGCCCAAGACATTTTCATTTAGCTTTTAAAACAGATACTGCCTTTCCCTGAGTATTTTGAGTACTGCTTTGCCCTATTTACTCTGCAGTACTCCATTCTTCATTCTTCAGAAGTCAAAGACTTTCTTTGTTGCTTTTGTGATTATTTGAAATATGAATGCAATTTTTACATAATTACATATGGATCTAGATAGGATTAGTGTTCCCAGGGTACATGGCCTGTGTCAGCTAAAAGTCTGTGTATCTGGGTGGATGTAGTACTGTAAAGCAGTCCTGACTTCACCAGCAAAACTTGCCTGATTTTGTCTATGGAAAATGCTTAGAAGGCATTGCTGTCAGATGCACTAAGCCAGTGATTCTCAACCAAGGTGCTGTGACACCCCAAAGTGTCATGAGAACCTTTGAAGGGTACTGATAGTGTCATGCAGTATTAGCACTGTTAGATGTGCAAATACATACACCATTCACAAGATTTCGAATAGGAATTCATAGCGTCAAAAACATTCTGAACCATTGTGGTCTTTCTGAGTTCTTTTCAACAGAAAAATTGCTCTGGTTTTTTCCTATAATCAAAAAGCAAGTGAAAAGTAAGAGCTGGCATTTTCTGAGGAGTATCTTGAGTGTAATAATGTTGAAAACTACTGTCCTAGATGGTCTCTGCTGGCAGCATCCCATCCACACATTAAAGCTAACATTTCCCAGTGACATCTCTCAAATAGAGATGATAGAAATAGTGTCCATGCCACTGGAACTCAGTTCCTTCCAAGGTTGTGATCACGCAAGTCTCTTCCTATATGGTTTTATACAAGCATTTGGGGAACCTCTGGGGTGGTTACTTCATGAAGATCATTGATAGAGGTGTTAAACACGGTAGTACATTCTGTTATTGTGACCATGTAACAGCCCTGCTGTTTTCATGGAGGGGATTGGACCACACGACCCTGGAGCTTCCTTCCAGTCATATGATTCTATAATTCTGCTAAGTAATGTGTCTAAATATTCACTGGCTGATTGACTGGCTGTTTTTATTCTCAGTGCCAGGTTCACAAGAAGATGATACGTCAGGGGGAAGAATCAGGAAGTTAAGTCTTGGACAGTATGACAATGATGTTCCAGAACAGCTATCATTTACGAAGTGTGGATGGATGAAGTCTACTGCTGTAGACCCAGCTGTAAATCCAGGATCACTAATTGCTGTAGGGGAGACTAAAGAGGTAAACAAGGAAGTCTTATTCCAGAAGGGTTTTAAGAGAAAGAGTGGCCAGCATGGAATCCTATATTCAGGAGCAATGTTAGGGTATAAGGAACTAAAATGATACAGGAAAGTTGAGTTGTTTATGTGGTTGCATCATGATCTCTGATAGGCTCTGGATGTTAAAGGAACAGAATAATTGCATGAATCAGACAAAGGTGTAGAGGTTGAATGGCATCTCTCTCTTTTTCTCTGTGTGTGGGTGGTAGGTATGTATACATGCACACATATGCCTGCATCTTAAGTGCATGAACATCTTCCCATTAGAAAAATTGATCAAATGATCTGAAAGCTTGTATAATCTGGTGAAAAATGGCATGCTGCACAGTAGTGACATGATGAGGTTCATGACACAGTTGTTTAACTACTCTATTTCTCTTCCAGAAATGTGTGGCACGTTATCAAGAAGGCCTTGATGAGGTTGATTGTGAAATCTTCTCTCCAACCAAAAATGGGAATGAACCTGTCCCACCTATCCCAGCTTTTCCACTGTCACCTGAGACACCATATGGTGAGTAAATATCTGCATCATTTATAATGTTTCTAATATGCTGCTTTCAATATCCCAAATTTATAGAACAATGGTTGTTTTTTCTTCTCTTACAGTGAAAACTCCTCCATATTACCATCAAGTGACTCCATCAGGCCAGCAGATCAATAGCCTACCTGAACTGTACAGAAGCAGTCATGGTAAGAGCTGTACAGTATTTCCTTTTTCCATTTAGGGTGAAATTCATTTCTGTAGCATAAGTACCAGTTATGGATTACACCAGGAGTTAGGTAGTGAATATTGCTTTGTGAAAGTCATCGGCAGAGAGGTCAAGTTCATCCTCCTCAAATAGCTCTGTACCAGAGCCAGTCATTAATGGTGCATAATTATCATTCTGCTTGCATATCAACAGATAATTTAATAATCTGTCAAAATGGTACTGGCAGAATTTTGGATACAGTTTTTGCAGTTTGTCGGCACTGGCTGAATATAAGGAGAGATAAAGCTGAAGGTGGAAATGACATTTCTTAACTCAAATAGCATCCTAGCATATTGAAGGATATTGTTGCAAGTTTTTTTGTCCCTGCACAATAGTTTAGTAATAGCCAGATATGAAATAAACCATCTTTCCTGTTGCACAGTGGTTTGCAGTAGATGACTATATGAAAGAATTATGGCCAGATTCTCCAGTGTGATCTAACTGTGCATGGTTTGCAGAGCATTTTCTTTGTTGGCCATAACAGCCTCGTGGTAAGAAGACCTTTACTAAATACCCCCTAAGCCCTGTCATATGGATCATTTCAGAGGCACAGTGCAAAGAGTCCTCCATTATGTTTAACTTGTTTAAAGTTGATTCAGTGCTGTGCCGTCTTCTACCTTAATATGTTTGGACTTCTTTAACTATGAGCTAAGGCCCTACTCAAATTGCAATTTTGCAATTATTGCTGAATCCACAAAAAATGGTGATTTCCACAGACACCATGAAAAACAGCGGTTTCTGTAATTTTGCGCGGAATTGCTGGGAAAAGAAACTTACTAAAAATAAAATGCTTGCTCCTTAGTGGGAGCCAGTGGCCACTGCGGGTTGTGGGGAGGAGCCCCTGGCATGAAGGGGAGCAGCCAAGATGGCAGCCTCCTCCTCTTCTGTCTGCTGCTGATTGGCCAAGAGGGCTGCCTTTTGTGCAATCCTGCCGCTCTCTACCAATCCATACATAGAACCTAATTATTGGGGGGGGTCGTCTTCTATTTGGGGTCACCTTATATTCAAGTAATATGGTAATAAAGTTTCTGCTGGCAGAATTCATTCTTTATTATTGTTATAAATATAATAATTGGAACTCTACAAAACAATTATTGTACCTGCTGTAAAAGGAATACAGTCCATCTCTTCTCTCTCTGCCTCCAATGACTCCTTCCAACTTTTGGCTTCCTGATCTGAGCATGTGTCACTTTTGAATTTGGATACTTTACCTTGCAACAAAATTTGGATCAGTTTTGTGTTGCACTGGGCCATCAAGGGTAGAAGACAGCTGGTCCTGCATGTGTAGCCCCACAAGAGGCATGGTGGAGGAAGTTTGTCTCCAGTGACATGGTGTTTTCTATTGCTGACAAGTGTTTCACACTTGGCCCCTGGGAGGACCGCATACCTTTGTACTTTCACTACTAGCTTCTAATATTTGTGTAATAAAAGTTTAAAAAGTCCAAAAAAACTTTCCTTTCCCCCGCCTCTCCCACCTCCCTCTTTCTCTGTTACCTTTTTTATGGTCCTACATGGTTAATATATAAAAAGCAAAACTGTTAAGTAAAACAGTGATGTATTTGTGTAGTCACTTTTGAGAGTAGAGCCACAGTTTAAGTTGATATGAAAGGGCCACTGTCCAGTTTGAACTGTGTATCAGATTCCCAGTATATAAAATGGTGACAACTCTGTTTACTTTTCCATATAAAATGCATTAATGTCCTCTGAAGGAAGGGGCTGTGTAGTGATGAAGTACTGTAGGCTACTGTTGTTATTATTTAAAGCATAGAGCTGAATGAGAAAACCTCTTCAAACACCCTTGACAGGAAAAAAAATAGTGCTAGTTCTTAGCTTTATTTCTTGAGGTTGCCCAAGAATGCAGGATAGTGCTTCTCATTAAGTGTCCCCATAGTGTCTGATTTTGTTTCTTTTGCTTTTTCTTGTTGAGAAAAACTTGCTCAAGAGTGTTCAGTCAGTGTACATAGTGTCTGAGTAAAACTGCAAATTGGTTTTAATATTTGTATTATAGAGAGTGAGAGGAAGAGATGAATGCAGTGGCTTAAGGAACTATAGTAGAAGCACGTATTTCTTGCAAAGTCTTGTTTGTTAGTTTTAAAGGACCATTATGCAAGAGATCAGACTACTTTTTCATCATGTAGGCCAGAGATGTCTAACTGGCAGTCTGCTGGCCACATGTGGCCCATGAAGGGTTACTATGTGGCCATAGTGTTCCCACCTCACAAACACTCCTCCCCTTGCTTCTGTTGCTGGGGGCTCTGAACTCCCCTCCTCTCTTCCAGTTCTGCTTCCTGCCCCTCTCCTGGGGGCAGGGCAGCATGGTGGGAGGAGGATTGGCAAGGGGGCAGTCTGTTGTCTGTGCTCTGCATGCAGAAGTGTGGGGGGAGAGGGAGTAAGCTGTCTGTGCAAAGGTGGGGAACCCACAAGTTAAACAGCCCTGATTCAGGCAATATAATTTCATCAGTATTTCATGCATTGGCCCCAGTAACTTGTGAACTAGAAAGATCTCTTAGAAAGAAGTCAGTTTCTTCTTGACATCAGGTTGATGATAGAGAATCCACTATATCCCTGCCAAGATGTTCTGTGATTAATTATTCTTATTGGTAAGTATATGTGCCTTATTTTCCATTTGATTTTATTTCCCTGGTGGGATTTTTCAATTAGCTTCTTGCCCAAGGGGCTTCTGATCAAGCTGAAAAAAATTAAGATTAATGTTTCCAAACTGGGACGCCCTACCAAAACCCTCAGAACCTGATTCATCTTAATCATACAGTCTTTTCTCACTGGCTCTGCCCCAACTATATATTTTCTCCACTTCTGTAGCTCCTTAAATGTGCCAGTGTTTCAAAGCAACAGATCTCCTACCATGGGGCAGCATCCTAATCACACTTTTCCTAACTTGCTTGGTGACACAGCACTTGGTAAAGCTCATTAAATTTGGATAAATTGTTTCCACAGTTAGGTGGATTACTAAGTTTCCAGCCAGGGCAGTTTATAAATGGGTCAGTTTTATGTAAATCTCACCAAAAGAAAAGGAGTGTTCAAATAAAGCACAGATATAGCTTGAGAACAAGTATTTATCTAATAGGATATTCCTGTGCAACACTGAAGAAATAGTGATCTCCTCTATAGCCCATTCTGAATTTTTATAAAGTCTCTCACATTGAAGAACATACAGCTAATTGGGACCTCTTTGTCTAACTTGTTGTTCAAGTTAGAAGCCGAGCTGTAATGAGGTGGGTTTCTTTTCAAAGATTTGGACTCCAGGTCTCCTGTCCTGCCCAGGAACTCCCAGCTTTATGCCCTCTTGGACTCCAAGGCCAGGGCTAGAGCATTGACCTTACCCTCAACCTTTGCCGAAGAACAGAAACACATCTTCTAAAAATAGGGCCATGCAGTCTTCAAGAGATGAATACATTACTACTAGCAGCAGCCACTAAGCACCCAATCCAGGGGTTGGCAATATTTTGAAGCAGGGGCTGTTTTAACAGAATTTAGCACTGAGCACAAGCCCCTTCCAGCCTAGCCCAAGTTGACATCATTACTGTTCCCCCTTCCTGACCCCTGACAGCAGGGGTGGGCAATAATTTCAGCTGGCAGGCCACTGAATGGGTTTTTGATGAGGGCTGTGCACACAAAATCTTTAGATATTTAACCAGTTATAGATAAAAAATAAACCATATACTAAAAATCAAGCATCTACTATAACATATTTTAATTCTATTTCAGAAGATAATTTTTGTCCTGATTTATGGGTTTTTTGAGTAGTATGTATAGAGGAGATTGCATAAAAGCTCAAAATAAAGTCTTACTCTTGTAAGTTGGGGGGGGAGAGGAGGGGAGGTGGGTTGGGCTGTGTGGTGTTTGTGGGGGTCTGCCCACACACTAGAGTCTTGGATGCAGAGTGGGGTGGAAGGGGCGGGAGAGGGAAAGAAGTGGGGGGAGAGGGTGTGGGGAGCAGAGCTTCCCTGGGCGGTGTGGTGCTGGGAGGAAGAGGAGCCGCTGGAGGCAGGGGGCAATGAGCAGTACCCGGATGGCTGCTACAGCAGCAAAAGCAGCCCTGCCAGGAAGCTGTGCACTCTGGCTGGGGTCAGGGAAGTGCTGTTGGGGCGGGTGCTGGTGAGAGTACAGCATAGGTTGCCCTGAGTGGGAGCAGGTGAGACTCAGCCCCATGCAGAGCACCATGGAGGCAGCTGCGGGCTGGATTTGATCCAGGGGCCAGATTTTGCCCACCCTTGTCCTAGTTTCACTCCTTATCCCCGCTGTGCAGAATTCATAGGTTGGATAAAATGGCTCTGCAATCTATAGGTTGCCATCCCTTTCTCTAAAGCAGGGGTGGGCAAAATGCAGCCCACAGACCGGATGCGGTCTGCCAGGCCATTCTATCCGGCCCACAGGGCCCCTAAAAAATTTAGAAAATTAATATTTATCTGCCCCTGTCTGCCTGCCGTGTGGCCCTCGATGGCTTGCCAAAACTCAGTAAGCAGCCCTCCGCCCGAAATAATTGCCTACCCCTACTCTAAAGGAAAGGAAGTTTGTCCAGCTGCTCTTTGTCCAAACAGGGGTAGGAAAAGGCAAGTGTAATGTTGCTAGGGATGTGAATACCAGTTTAAATGAATCTTTGTTTAACCTGTTGTAATTACAACGGGTTAAATGATTAATCAGCCGAGCACAGGAATGGGGACACGTGTGGCAGCGCTGGGTTCCAGTCCATGGCTGTGCAAAGGCAGGAAGCAGGGGGTGCAGAACCCGGGGCCAGCACCTGCCCTGCCCCACCTGCCCCAAGCAGCATGCAGAGCAGGGGACAGAGCAGCCCCGCCAGGAAGGCAGCACAGCCCAGAAAGCCCTGGTGAGGTAGCAGCCAGCAAGAGGCTGCAGCCATCAGCACAAGGCTTCCTGGAGCCAGCTGCAGCAGCACAGGAGAGGGGCAAAGAGGAGGCAGGC